ACTCATAATCTAGCCATTTTGTGTGTGTCTCAGTTCCTTCTCTCAACCATCCGAACATGGAATCATCCTTACCCTAGATTTGGCAACCTGGTAAACATATTTGCAATAAAAACATCTGTTTCTGGAACCTTATTTGTGTACAATGTATTCAATTTTACTCTTACTATTCTCAAACCTTCTAATTTCTCTTATTCAAATGTTCTCCAAAAACAATCTACGAACATATCCGAATAATTTTTTTAAATATAGATAAATTAAATATAGATATGGAAAAAGAGAAATACTCGTGCAGGACTGTCAGTAAGGAGAGAGAGAGAGAAGGGGAGAGAGAGAGAGAGAGAGAGCATTTCCTTAAAACAATCTATATAATTTTTTATTATTATTTTTTTATAGAGAGAGATCATAAAAATAGAGAATAAACAAAATAAATCACACCTGTAGAACCCGAGTGAAACATTCTTTTTGCCGTGAAGAGGGTTTGCCAAAATGAACTGTCCGGGTAATGTCAGTTGTTCCATCAATATATTGAGCTCCACTGTCTAGTAAGAAGAGTTTCTCAGTATCCACAGTGCTACATCTATTTGGATCTGGTCTATAATGTATGATTGCACCATTTGCACCTGAACCTGCAACAAAACACAAAAATAATTGAGAAATATTAACATTCAAGTAAAACATTTAGCAAAGTAATTTCTGTTTCGTGAAAAAGCCTATCCTCAAGCTTATCACACAATTCATTGCATTTTATGAGTCCCCTTAAATTCAAACGTTAAATTTGATAATTCTGAACATTAAGCTACCACCAGTCATAAGATAATAATTCACAATGCATCATTATTCACGATTCTGATATAGAGTATGGCAGTAATTTATTCTTCGGTTTTGTAATTAAAGGACGTCAAGATCCGGTGAAACATGCCTACCGAACTAGTAATAATGACAACATAAAAGAGAAATCAAGTGATCACAGAGTAAAGCGAACCTATTCTCAAAATTCAAGGAATAGAAGATTTTTCTGGAATTATTAAAATACCCGACAGCAAACTTTAATATGGACTGAAGTAANGAACGGGGGCCTGGAATGACCTGGGGAGATCGCGGGCAAGCTGCTGTTTGCCGACGCGCGGCCCGTGGGGCACATACGCCATCTACGCGTACGCGCCGTCGGCTCGCCGCCCGGGAACGGCGCCTCCCTAGCTTGGGTCGGAATGACCCCAGCTATCCTCCGGTTAGGCGCGTTGGCCCAGTAGAAGGCCGGAGCAGGTGCCAAAACCGGATCTCGAGCGGCGGCGCTAGGGTTTGCACCTAGGGCCGCCGCCTGCGTGTGGTTTCCAAGGGAGGATTGGCCCTGGTTTGCTAGCGTGAGGCCGGTATGTGGTGGTGGAAGAAGATGGCTGGAGGCTGAAAGGCTAATTTTGGATGTTGAGGGAGAACTCTCCATACCGGAGAGAGCGATAAAAACTACAGTCATAAGATAATAATTCACAATGCATCATTATTCACGATTCTGATATAGAGTATGGCAGAAATTTATTCTTCGGTTTTGTAATAAAAGGACGTCAAGATCCGGTGAAACATGCCTACCGAACTAGTAATAATGACAACATAAAAGAGAAATCAAGTGATCACAAAGTAAAGTGAACCTATTCTCAAAATTCAAGGAATAGAAGATTTTTCTGGAATTATTAAAATACCCGACAGCAAACTTTAATATGGACTGAAGTAATGATAGTTTTGTGAAATGAAATATCTTCAGAAGAGTCTCTTTGGAGCAAAATTCCATCTTTAAATTTGTTTTTTCTTCAGCTTTCATCACATGCATCATATATCCACATATTC